CCTTGCCAGATTTAATTCCAACTGGGCCTTAGCCTTCCTCGTCGCATCCCTGCACACTCTGACAACGTCCCTGTATTCCTCCCAAGTGGCCTGTCCCCTTTTCCACATTCTGTAGACTTCCTTCTTCTGCTGGAGTTTTGCCAGGAGTTTGCCACACACACACACACACGCAGACTCTCTCATCCATATTGAGAAATGCTGTGATAAAATTTCATGTGGAATCATGACATTTGAAATCCTATGGAAAATCTGAATCAGGATAATGATAATATTATGCTAATTATCACATGCCTCATTGATTCAGGCTACAAAAAGTGAAAAATATATTCAGACCTTTATTGGGGTCGGTTCTTCAGGACTGCCCAAGACAGTTTGTCCCATGGACTTTCATTAGGATTTGAGCAGTTTATTCTTTTAAGTGCTTTAAGAACTCTTAATCTTTAAGGGTGTCATATCTGCTTAAAAAAATAAAAATCACTGAAGTGATTATATTTTCCTATTACTTCCCTTCCACAAAGCAAAAATTTAGCCAACTTTTTTAAAGTACATTTTATATAGCAAATTAACCCTAAACTTAAGTATGTAGTGATACCCTTTATGCCCCTTCTGTGTAGCTACAGTAAGGTGCTAATGTTTTCAGAGAGCTTATTTACGTTTTGCTTTCTTGATGATAAATTTGTGATGTGCTTTCTACTGTGCTGTTAACCCAGGCATATTTCCACAATTCATGTCATTCATTTGAATGACAGATCAGCCTGTAATACTGACATGTTTACACTAACCCTGTAGCATCAGCAATTTCTTCCTTCAAAATCATTCTGTTCAGTTGTATTTGGGAGTTTGGAATTATTTAAAACCTCATCAGCTATGAAAAAATCTTGTTAGATTCCTTTTTAATAATATCTTTGTGTAGATTCTTGATCTGAATTACAAAACAGAGAACGTTTTCTATGAAAATGTAACTGATGTTGCTAATGTAACTGAAATGTAATTGCAATCCACGGTGGCCATCTGATGTAGAAATGCTATTTATGTTTTGCCCTTTCTGATAGGTTGACATCTAAAACCACCTATAAAATACTATGCTGCTGCGTAAATTTACGTTTCTGACATCTTGTGTTGATTACAGTTCTTGCCGCTGTACTTGAAAAAAAGATAGAAAAGGCTGTATCAAAAAGAAATGAAATCATGATCAGGAATTTATAGTCCCCTCCATAGGAAGACTAAACAGAATAGGATGTTTCAGCTGAAAAGAGGTGACTGACAGACAAGAGAGATCATTTCACTAATAACACAGAGAAGGCAAAAACAAAATAGTAACTCCTTTTTTCTCATGTGATGGCTATATTAGGGGAATCAAGGATCGTTCGGTTAATATCTTCTGCAGAAGATATAAACCAAAGAAAATAAATAGTGTATTGCATGAAAAGCTATTTTAATTGTGAAATAAGTGCAAAAGGTATTTGAGGAGGAGGAAGAACAAAAGTATCAACAGCAAAATGAGGGTTTATTCATGGTTAACAGTGGTACTAAAATTCAGCCTCCAACTTGTGCGGTTCTTGAAAGATTACTAGAAACTCGGGAGACAAGCTAGGGAAAGGATCGTCTTTATTTTCTCAGTTGTTCTTTTTTCAATACTTCTTTCCTAAATATCTGCTATTTGCCATTGCCATCCCCCTGCCCCCGATATAGCAGGATCTCTGCTCTAGCCCAGTACGCTTATTGTTATGCTTGCTTGTGTATTTTGCATCCCTTAATTGGGTACTTTTCCTGTTACATGACCTAATTTCCAGTAGGTCACATAATTAATAAACATAGTATTGACATTGCTGGGCAGCTTTTCAGCTGTTTCAAACTGACATTTTATACATATATATATATACACATGCATACACACGCTTATTAATTTGTATTATATACTACATTATATATGTAGCATATATTACATTTTATATATCTATGCACACACATATATATTATATATATTATACTACTGAAAGCTTCAGTTTTAATCAGTTTTAAAGCTGATCTTAAGAGTAAAGCTTAAGGGTTTTTTTATTATGTGAGCTGACTCTTTATGTATTATTGACAGGACCTTGTTTCAAAAATGCTTCATGTTGACCCACATCAAAGATTGACTGCAGCCCAAGTACTTAGCCACCCCTGGATAGTTCACTGTGACCAGTTGCCTCAATACCAGCTGAACAGGCAGGATGCTCCCCATCTGGTGAAGGTAAGTAGATTTATTTCTTCAGCTCGCTGCTTAGCCAAAGTTACTGTACACAAATGTACAGAAAAGCAGTTTCTGTACCATGTGTTTCCTCTAAGTACTATTTAAAAGTTATGACTGGGAGTTGCGTTAAGCCATGAAGTGAACTTGTAATATATAATAGGATTTCATATGAACCACTTGTGGGGAATAAATCTACATACTTAGACTAGGAGGCTTGATTTCCTAAGAAACCAGGATAAAATAAATCATTCTTCTGACAGTGAAAGTGTTGTCAGGTGACTGTAGGGGAGGAGGAACTGTAGCTTAGCTATTTTTACAGTTTTAATGACAGGTTATTTAGGTGTCCGTGACTAAATGAAAATAGAATACTTCATGATCACAGTATAAGCTAAAAAGAAGTAGAAGAGGCAATATTAATTAATATGGTATTGTACTGATTGAAGTCTGATTAAAGTCTGATTAAACAGTTCACCTGGATTAATCAGCATTGTTGGACAGCTCTAAAAGAAGCCTGACTGTTAAATAGCTATTGAATGTAGTACTGCACTCTGTGGTCTGAAACACAGTCTGGTGTTGACCCCAACATACTTTTTCACTTTGAGCAAGCGTAGAAATCAAAAATAGTTGGATTCTTTTCCTTTGTTATTCACCCTGCCTTCAGTCCTGTATCCAAAAAATTCTTGCCAAACAACATAAAAAGGCATCTCAAGAGTGTAATTAAGATCCAGGTCAGCTATTACAAATTTCTCACATCCAAAAGCACAAGAAGGAAGAGGAGCAAGTTCTGATTCTATCGCTTACAATTTGCTAAGTTTTTTTTTAAGCTTAAGAAATGTTTATGTAGTTGAATAAGGTGGACAACTCTTGAATATTTTGTTGAAAACTGAAATGGTTATATAAGTTCTAAAAAGGGACAGTCCACTGATGGGATTTCATTCCCCAATTATTTTACGAAGCATGGAGAAATAACTTAATTTTGCAAGATATCTTATACCTTTTGTTTTTGTTTTTTTAATCATGGTAAAATTGCTTGAGATGATCTGAAAACTGTTGATTATACTTTAAAACGTTCACATATAACACTGCAGTTTTTTGTGTAACGCAGTGGTATTTTCCGTTCTGTAGATGAAAACAGATTGGAAGTTAAAACTTGTTTGTATCTCTTGTCATTTAATGTTGTGTGAGCTCTAGTATGTATGTCCATTACAGTGTATTATTCTTGTTTTCTCCTCTGGCATTCTTACATCAGGGTGCAATGGCAGCAACGTACTCTGCTTTGAATCGTAATCAGTCACCGGTTCTGGAGCCAGTCGGTCGTTCTACTCTTGCTCAGAGAAGAGGTATAAAAAAAATTACCTCAACAGCCCTGTGAAGTGACCTCAACCAGATATTTGGTACCATGGTATAAGATGATAGCACAAATCATGGCGACAGGTAGCACATATCTGACAGATACCTGCAAGCACACTCTGTCCCAGCTGGTACCTATAATGCTGCTGCTCCTGCTGCTGCTACTGCTTTCATCTATTCTCGCTTTAAACTGTTGATGGCAAGTTACTGATCTTACTGGAGCTTCAGATGGAGTGATGAGTGGAAACACAATGAAAACTATCATGTTCGTGATTGAATAAACCAGAAGAATTCTGAACACCACCTCTGTCAAAAATACACTGAATAAAGCACTCTGCACCACATAGCATTATTTTTATAAGGAATATTTTTTGTCCCCTGAGATATTCTTTGTTACAGGTAGAAATGGACAGTTTATGTTAAGCACTTAGCTTAAATGATCTGTTTATATTAGCACTATATACTTTGTGCCATCCAACATTTTGTATGTTTTTGTAAACAGTTCATGAGCAGTACATTTCTGTGCTGTTTTCTTTAATGTATACATGCCTTGTTTTACTTAGATTTTATTAATCATTTTGACAACTAAGTCTGATTAAACAGTTCACCTGGATTAATCAGTGTTGTTGGACAGCTCTAAAAGAAGCCTGACTGTTAAACAGCTATTGAATGTAATACTATGAATATGTATTTCTCCTTGCCTGTGTCTTTTCTACATTTCCATGTTTTTGAATTTGCATGTCATGTTATGAAAATCAGAATACTGTTTATAGTATTCAAAATTTAAACAGTGGGTCTCTCACCGTACTATATACACAACAGATAATGTAACCCAGAGGAAAAATAACTTGCTCCATATCTCACTGTCTTTTGTCCCCCCTCTCTTCCCTTTTATTCTCCCCCATCTAATCTCTGGACTCAGGAATCATTGCTGAATACTTTCTGATAGAGGACATTTCTGTGTTGTTTATTCTTATAATCCATTGTTAATATTTTATCTCTGTTCTGACTTTTATTATAAGCTGCAAAGGATTTGTTCAGTGAATGTTGGCATTATAGAAGGAAGGCGGTGTTAAAGATAAAGCAAAACATGATGTCCACTAATAAGCAGAAGCTTGAAAAAAGTAGCCTTAAACTACATTCACTGTGGTTGCAAAACTGATTAAGCTAATGTTCAGTCAGTTATTGTCTGATACTTGTAATTAATAGCCAAAGGAAAATGAGAGAAGAATCATCCAGGTCCATCTAGGATGGGGAACTACCATTATAACTGAAAGTAGTATTGTCAAGGTCGTGTTAAAACGAAGCTGTTCAGAGTCAGCTTTTCCCTAGATGGAAGCAAGCTTGTAATGAGAGTGAAAGACTCATAGCTTAAATACTGGTACAAGCTTTTAATAATCCTGGCCTTTAATAATCTTGGCCTCTTGGTGTCTTAAGTAGTTAAAGGCATATGTCTAGCCTTGAAAGATCAATTGCTCAAATGAGAAGGTGTACTGGAGTGTGTTTGAATTTAGGGCGGATCCCATTCTACCAAAATAGTACGCTACATCAACTCACTCCAGATAAGAAAATGGCCATTATAGGAATTCCAGCTTTAATATATATGGATCTGGCTGAACAGCTCTTTGTGAACAATAACATCTAATAAAGCAAAAGATAGGTGCAAGCTAGCATTTTCTAGAAGGTATTTTCTTGATTAGTGGTATTAAATTTCTGTTGAAGTGATTAATTTGCTGGTTTCCCTGAAATCGTCAGAGATTTGTTGAAAGGGGAATCATTTTTAACACCACTGACTCGCTCTATATGCAAGATTTTCCGAGTTCCTTGGGGAAGCTTCCTTTGTTAAGCTTGCAAGAGAACCAATGTTATTGCCATTCTTGAAAATCTGATAAATATTTAATCCTTCATAATGTGCTCTGATGCTAATCTCCTTAATTTGGCCAAGCTAGCTGCTTAGACTCCTCAAATCAAGTTCCAGTACTTCATCAGGACTCTAATGATAGTCTTGCTTTTACGTATACAGTCTTTATATCTTACTTTTTATTGTAAAAGAATCACTTTTATGAACAGAGATTCTTAAATTATCTCAGAAATTTGAACACACAACTGTTCGGAGCGATTAGTGTTTTTTTCCCCTTACTTGGTGTTCTAACGTTAAAGAAGGTCCTTCTAGCTCTACAGATGCATCTATCCTTTCTTCAAGAAACATCTTTAATTAGAGGCAGAAAAAGGCCATGTTGTTGTTGGGGTTTTTTTTCTCTTTGATGAAGACTGCGGTTCCAGTGGGATTTAGTATAAAAGCTTCTTGTCTTTTGGAAAAAAAAAATATCGTCAGCTCTGTAAGTGACTGCAAGTCTGATTCATCCAAATCAGGAAACCATACCTTTCGGAGTTGCTCTTAAATGTATTTATCTGAAGATTGTCATATCAAGTCAACAGATAAGATTTAAGACTGGTACTGTTGAAATAAAGGGATGGCAGTACTTCCAAGTACACTCATAATGGCATTTCGGATCAGGAAGGAATTTCTCCCACATTGTAAGAGCATAGATATATATATAGGTACTTGGCACAGAACAGACCAAAAGGAGGCAGCATTATGCCATTTCTCTATTGGCAATGTGTGTTAAAATAATGAAAAGTACTTTCAGTTGTTTTATTTTAGTCATATTTTGCAGCCTTCTAGCTTACCGATTGTTAGTCAAATAGCCAAGCAAAGTTAATTCCTGCATTTTAACATACCTACGTTCTCAAGCTGTTAGTTTAGACTAGACTTTAAGGGTGTTGCTACTATGTCATATATGTAGCAGCATAGGATGAACACTTTAACTGTTAGTCAAAACATGGCAGTTAACTTGAATATGCTAAAGTCTAGATCCACAGTCTTTTTAAGTTATTTTCTAAACCAAGGCATAAAGGGATCTATGCAGGTAGTATGTTTTACAGGCTAGACTTGGTAGGTTTATGTACCTTACCTCCCCTCTTGGATCTATACACACAACTTGTAGCTGCAGTTGTTGTTAAGAAGCTATAAAGAAATCCACATAATGCGTCTTTGACAAATCCCAGCACCTTCGTGTTAGATTGTTTGAGAATATATGACCCACTGTGTAAATTTTTGTTGTTGGACTGCATCTTGGTCTGCAAACGCATAGCAGGTAACTCTAGGATTCAAAGTCATGGAGGGCAAAAAAGAACTGCCAATACAGGTGAATTTTCTATATAAACCATGATTTATTTTTCAGTGTAAAATTACCATTACCGTGTTTAACAGCATGAGAGAATAGTGGGAGAGAGTAGTTACAATACTCATGAAATGACATCTGTATGTAGTAAGGGCAAAGTTCTTTATTCATATCACTGTAATACTGAACGAAACTTGGAAGGAATTTTTCAAGAGAAGTATTTAAAACTTTTTTTTTTTTTTTTTAGAGAGCCAAGGGCATAAGAAAAGAGATATATGAGTTTGGGTGTTTTCTCTGTGTATTTTGCTTTTATAAATGTAGTGTACCAACTAAAGCTCTGCTTTTCTATTATTGGAAAGAAAGGATTCAAGGTATGCTGGTCCTTGGTAAGCAGCAATGGTTAATAGATGAATTTTCACATATGAAAATGATGTAAATGATTAGCTTTATCTTGATACTCTTGACCTAATCAAAGGGAAGTTGTACTTATGAGGGATGTAATTATTTTGCAACCTAGTTGGGGGGGAAGTCTACTTAAAAACATTTTTAAAAAATGACAAAATCACAGATAAAATATTTTTCTACAATTCTGTACAATCATACTTTATACTAGTTTTCTCAGCATGGCATGTAAGTGAGTCTAAGGTACTGTTCCAGAAAATCAGTGGGTATTGTACCTTATTCTAGACCGTTACAACGGCATCTGTTAGATGCTTGGCACTGCTGTCATAGAATTGAAATGCTAGTAAAAAATTGTACTGAATACTTTAAATGATTGTTTTATTCAAAGTCTGATCTAGGGAATGTTCCAATCATGTTATTAATGTGTAAATAGAACTGTTCCAGATGTAACTATGAACAGTTCTGGAAAGGTATCATTGCTTGTACCCCTGTCTAATGGCAGGTTTTGTAGTCTTCAAAAGAAATTTCTACAATGAATAAACTTTCAAACATATCAAAAGTGTGTTTTGTTGGATAATCACTTGTTCCGCACAGTTATAAAAGTAGTTGTGTTTGTTCATAACTAATACTGAATTATATTTGCAGCATACCACCAAGTGTGCATTTCCAACCAGAAACAATTTTTAATAAGCAGGTGTTTGTCGGTTAAAATACGTTACTACATTACTGCATATTTGATGAGGTTGGTCTTTATTACTTAGGTCAGTGGGGAGCTGAAAGAAAAACGCTTGTACTCAATAGACGCTATAAACCCAATGCAGTTGAAACAGCAAGATCTAATAACTGCAAGAATGCTGCGTTTTAATACCACATAGACTCCAGTCCGCTGTGAAGTACCACTTGCACTTAACGCTGCTAAATAGTACTTAATATGCCAAAAAAATTCACAGTCTGCATTGTTGTAGTTGTTGAAAATGGCAAATTTCATGGGTGGCTATCAAGTCTTACTGGACTTTTAAACACTTAGAAAATGAGAATATATGCACATATGTCCCCCATAAACAAAAAATGACTCCAGGCTCATAACCTCATAATAGAGGAGCTCACAGGACTGCAGTCTTAGTAACCTTATTTAAGAGTTGTCATATTTTACATAAAATGACTGCAATAGTAATTATGATGGAGGATATACCCAGGATTTGCGAAAGGTCTCGTTAACCTCTCCACAAGGAGAACGTAAATGACCACGAAAGCCAAACTCTGTCAAGTGCCAGAACCAGCCAGGCCAGGAGCTATCGAAAGTCAACGGGGAGCCATCATCTCCCGCCTGAAACGCGCAACTCCAGATCCAAGTCGTGTATGGATGGACATTTTACACTCAGACGTCCTGAATTAACTGAACCGACAGCCTGCAAAAAACGGGCAGCTCAGAGGAGGAGGAGGAGGAGACCTAACACCGGACCCTCACAGCGCTTCCGCTGTACTTCGAATGTGGGAGACGTTCACACCCTCGCTTGTGACAACTTTTATTTTTCCCCCGTAACTGAGATAGGCGTTTTCTCTTGGGCTTGCCGGTAACTGCAGGCTCTGCAAGGCAAGAGTTGTGGGGCCCAGGTTGGGGTTTTTGACCCGTTTCCTACATTTCCTGCAGAACCCCAGGGCCTGCGGTTCCCGAGGGGCTGCAGGCCTGGCTGGGTCGGGGGCCGGCCGAGGGGGGTG